GCTCTCTCACTCTGGGTCCCGCATCCAACACCAAACCCTGCGCATTCTGACCTGTGGTTCTTGAGGCTTGAGCCAGCAGCCTTTGTCTGACCTGCTGATTGGTCTGGCTGCTCCAGCAGCCACGTGAGTCAGGGTGGCTGAGTCATGGATTTGGGACTTGCCAGCCCCCACGGCTATGTCAGCCATTTCCTTGAGACAAACCTCTCTCTTTCTAAAATGCACACATGATTCAGTGGCTTTGCTTTTCTGGAGCTCCCCATCTAAGACACCGAGTATGGCTCAAAGGTAAACCAAGGTTGGCCCAAGGCGGCCCATGGTTAAACCAAGGTTGGCTCAAGGTTAAATCAAGGTTGGCCCAAGGTTGCCTCAAAGGTAAACCAAGGTTGGCTCAAGGTTAAACCAAGGTTGGCTCCAGGTTTTTGCTCTGAGCATTTAACTGGAATGGAGACAATGCGTACGAGTTTCCTCCTGCTGACGTAACTGATTGCCCCAGACTGTTGTTGTTGTTGTTACGTGCCGCCGAGTCAAACCTGACTCATAGCGACCCCTCCTTGGGTTTCCGAGGCAGTATCACTACGGAAGTAGGATTGCCCAACCTTCCTTCCGAGGAGTGGCTGGTGGGTTTGAACCGCCAGCCGTCTGGTTAGCAGGCAAGTGTCTTAGCCACTATGCCCCAGACTTAGTGATTGACAAACACACACTTCTTAACTCGCAGTTCCAGAGGTGCCGTGAGCTAAAGTCAGGGCACCTGCAGGCTGTGCTCCCCTGGGAGCTCTCAGGGAACATCTCTGTTCCCGGTCTTTTCCAGCTGCTAAAGGCTGCCCGCATGTCTTGGCTGGTGGCCTCCCCTCCAGCCCCAAAGCCAGATGAGTGGGAGGTCCCGGAGTGTGGGGCCAGGGTCAGGGAGAAGGGCGAGCTCTCAGGGCCAGCAGTTGGACCAAGTGGGATGACGACCCATGGCTCCACTGGACCCGGCCACATGGAGGTCACCAGTGAGCTGGGCAGGACGGATGGAGGGAGAAACGCTGGTGGGCGGGTCCAGAGAGAAAGGGGGAGGGGGTGGGGAGAGGGGGGAGGGGGTTGGGTTAGAGGGCAGGTGGTGATGACAGTGAATACACTGGCCGCAAACTGCAAGGCTTGAGGCTTGAGTCCCCCCGAGAGATGCCTTAGAGGGAAGGCTGGTGACCTCCTTGTGAAAGATCAGGGACTGGGAGCCTGTGGAGCACAGCTCTACCCCAACGTGGGGTCCCCAGGAGCCGGTTGATTTGACAGCACCTGGTTTGGTTAGAAGGGCTGATGGTCTGTGCCCATGACCTGGATGGAGCCTGGGCTGGGGCTGTGAACACTGCCAGCCCTTCCCGAGCATGTGTGCATGTGTGTGTGTGTACATGTGTGTGTGTACGTGTGTGTGCATGTGTGCACATGGCACAGGGACAGTTTCCACTGTGCAGTGCTGCCTGAGGAGGAATGGAGGTGTGAGGCAGAGTTCTCTGTCACAGGAAGCGGCGTCCAGGCCCCGTATAGCCTGGGTCCTGTGCAGGGTGAGGAGGGGGTGTGTGGGGAACGTGTGCTGTTGGGCGTCTTGGGGTGCAGCATGCTGCTATAGCTCCCCACCTACCGCTGTGTTCAAGGGACCTGTTCTAGTCTGAGATGCAGGTCAGGATCCTGGGCCAGAGGTGTGAGGTCAATGCCTGTTATTATAAGCTTCCAGCTCATTCTCAGATGAAAGCACAGAGTCTTCCAGGGTCCAGGCCACGTCTGGTCACCCCATCACTGAGTAGAGACCTTGGAGCGGCGGGTGCCTGGGCAGGTTCTCTAAGACCATGTGGCTGGCTGCTCCAGTCCGAAGCACAGGCCTTGGGCTCCTAGCCTGTCCCAATGCCGAGATAATAGGAACCTCTGGGCCCTGTTATATGCGGACACCTGGCCCCTTTCCCTCCTCCTAAATTATTCATGACCTCCAGAAGCTGTAAAAGTCCTTCTCTGTCCCAGGAGCCGTTGTTACAGTGATAAATTTCACTTATGAAGTCAGTCCCCTTCCCACCAGCTGCCTGGGGGGGCCATAACCAAGACAGGTTGGGGGCACGCAGCAGCTACTTTCCTGGTCTGAGGGCTGGCCGGACGGCATGGGGGAGGCTCCATCCGGGGTTGGGGGCGCAGCCATTTAGGGCTCTGCTGGGGCTTTGGAGAGGCACCCACAAGCGTGGCTCCCAGGTGGGATCTGGGGGCACAGCTTGCTCCCCCTCCTGGGCTCTGTGACCTGGGGCCCATCACAGGGACTCATGAGTCCTGACCCAGCATGGTCTCCCAGGGCGTTCACGCACAGTGGCACGCGTGTGGGTGGTGACTCACGGGCCACGCCGTCCTTCTCCCAATGCGACTCGTGCTTGCCGAGCATGCGTGTCGGTCCCGGGTGTGCTGAACAGGTGAACGCCAGCTCTTCCATGTCCCCTCAGGGCCCCGCAGGTGGCCTGAGGGCTGCTCTGATGACTAACAAGGACAGGGGATACAGAGGGGAAGTACCTCGCACAGGCCCTGCTTGGCCCTGGGCCAGTCGCTGCTGTCTCAGAGCCCTGGCACTTCACCTGCAGGCTCCTTACCTCGCAGGCCCTCACTTGTGGGCTTGCCACAGGGTTTGGAGGAAATGCATGTGTCACACTGAAAACAGCGAGAGGGACTGGCGGGGTGGGCACGTGGGGTTGGTCCACCGAGGATACCCAGATCGGCAGTGGCTGAGCCCAGGACACAGATGCCTAAGGTGCCCAAGCCAGGTGTGCACAGGCCAGGGGTGCAGGGCCCAGGTGTGCATGGGCCAGGTGTATATGAACAGGTGTCCTTGCTCCCGGCGCTGCCTTCCCTGGGCACTGTCTGGAGCCCTGAGGCCCAGAGAGGGAACACAGGCTTCCATGGCTCCTCCACCATTTGCAGGGGGCCCTTTGGGCTGGACAAGCTTGTCCGCTGGGCAGGCCTGACTGGACCAGAGGGCCGATCTCTAGGGAGCTAGAGGAACCCTATGTTGGGAAGAGAAGTGCCAGCATCTTGTGGGCTGTTGGAGAGAGGGTCTGTGCTGGCTCCGAGGCCTGGGCCAGAGCACCATGGAGACCCCCAGCCATAGTGAAGGCTGTGGAGGCCAGGTGACGAGACGAATCCTGCCTTAGGCCCCTCCCCTGGGCCCGTGGATCTAAAGGCCCACCCTGAGCATGCTGCCCTAGTCCTAATGCAGAACAGGAGTGTGTGTGCTCAGCGGCTGGTGGGACCCTCACACGGGTTCCTGACCTGGGGGGTAAGAGCCATCATGACAAGAAAGAAACCTAATAGGTGGGAGGTCCTGAGAGCACCCGCCTCAGCCAAGACAGGTAGGCTGCAGAAATCAGAGCCACCCTCAAAGGCTGGGAGGACATGGAGCTGGTGGCCCCTGATGACCTCGTTCAGTTCACCTGTGCATCCCTGCAGAAGCCAAATGGATTGTGCTGCTGGCGGGCTACCCCAAACCTCCCGAGGTGCTAGTCCAAATCAAAACGGCTCTGCCATGTGTCTTCTGTGTGCTGGCGGACAGCAGCGCCTCCACTGCTCAGCGTGTGGCTGCCGGCTCAGGTGACGCCTGCCTCCCGCTTCTCATTCATAAAGCAAACGTGAAACAAACCCCTTGCAGTCGTCAAGTTGATTACGGCCCATAAGGACCCTCTGGGACAGAGTGGAACTGCCCCGACAGGGTCTCCAAGGCTGTCAATCTTCACCGAACCAAAGCCCAAACCACACCCACTGCCGTGGAGTCGATTCCGACCCACAGCGCCCCTAGAGGACAGAGTGGAACTGCACACAGGGTCTCCAGGGGTGTCATTCTTCACAGAAGCAAAGCCCAAACCACACCCACTGCCTGGAGTCCATTCTGACCCACAGCGCCCCTAGAGGACAGAGTGGAACTGCCCACAGGGTCTCCAAGGCTGTCATCGGCTCACAGCGCCCCTAGAGGACAGAGTGGAACTACCCACAATGTCTCCAAGGCTGTCAGCCTTCACGAAGCAAAGCCCAAACCACACCCACTGCCTGGAGTCCATTCTGACCCACAGCGCCCCTAGAGGACAGAGTGGAACTGCCCACAGGGTCTCCAAGGCTGTCATCTGGAGAAAAGCAGCGCCCTCCTTTTCCTCCCGTGGAGCAGCTGGTGACTAGCAGCCCAGTGCTTAGCCACTGAGCCACCAAATCTCCTTTGAATTTCACTAAAATAAAACCAAAAACCAAAACCCCAAAACCCATTGCTGTTGAGTGGATTCCAACTCCTAGGGACCCTATAGGATGGGGTAAAACTTTCCCACAGGGTTCCAAGGCTCAGATCTTCATGGAAGCACACTGCCACATCTGTGGGGTGGCTGGTGGGTTCGAACCACCAACCTCTGGACTAGCAGATGAGCATGCAACCCCTGTTTCACCAGCGTTGGTGAGGAGCAGGCCAGCTGGCACTTCTCTGGGGAGGATGGCGGTGCACTCTTGGCCTTGCTGTGGGGCTCTACTGACCGTCCTGCCATCTGTGACAATCTGTTTCACTGGGATGCTGCTGGTCTTAACCTTCGGCAGAACACTGTGACAATCCACCAAACTCATGGCACCGAGCTGACCAGACTGGTGAGCAGCAGCTGTCCAGCGTTCTGGGTGGAAAGATAAAGTTGGCAGAGATTGAAGGCTAACCGTCCAGGACTGGGACATGCTCGGATCCCCTTTAAGATAAGAAACAGGACAGTGGTGGCTCAGGGCAGAGTTTGCGCCTTGTGTGTGGGAGGCCCGAGTTCGAGTCCTGGCCACGCCCTGTGAGCACAGCCACCACCGGCCGTCCGTGGAGGCTGGCCTGGTGCTAGGACGCTGAACAGGTTTCAGTGCAGCTTCCAGACTAAGATGGCGCCGTGTGGAAGCAGCCTCCCCACTGTGGGAAGGCAGCCCCAGGTCGAGATAAGGCGCCGTCCTCAGGACTGTGCATCACTGCCCGCCCCCCCAGCCGGGAGTCGTCAGGACTGGCCTGGTGGACCAGAGGCATCAGCCGCTCGCCTGAGCAGGGCCCTGTTGCCACCTCGAGCACACGGCCTCCTTGGGAAGCGTGGTGTGCTCTCTGTGACTGTCCTCCAGCGGGGGACCAGGGCCGCCCCGGTCCCCGCGAGCTGGCCCAGTGTGTCAGAGCAAGTCAGCCCGTCCTCTCGGGTGACCCTGGGGGATAGCCATGAGGTGCAATCTCGAAGCGGGTAGAGCCGTGAGCCTACACTGGGCTGTTGCTGTGCACGGAGGGGCAGTGGCCCGGGGCCAGGGTGCACGCAGACTCCTGCCCAGGAGCCATGGACGTGGGTGGTTGTCAGGGGCCTGGAGGTGGGCAGACCAGAAGCTAGAAGATGGGGAGGTCTGGGGGTGAGCCGGTGGATGGAGCTGTGTGGGGGGACGTCTGCAGGTTGGAAGAAGGGTCTTCGTGTGTCCTGCCAACTGGAGGCATGGCCTTCAGAAGAGGATCCCCCAGCAGGTGGACAGATGACTCACCCAGAGGAGGCCACCTCGGGGCTTGCATAAGGGCCTCCGAGTGGAGTGTCCGTGGTGCACACAGCCCGACAGTGTGGTGGCTCTCTCTGCAGAGTGGCAGACCCGTGCGGAGTGGAGGCCAGTGCTAGGCCCCTGACACGACCAGGGGTCCCTGGGTGAAAGATTAACATGCTCCGCTGCTAACTGAGATGGTGGAGAGTCAGGTCTACTCAGAGGCACTCAGAAAACTCAGCCACTGAAAACCCGGTGAGCTCACTTCTGCCGGCACACAGGGTTTGCCGCGAGTCAGTCAACTCCATGGCATTGGTTTGCTGTTTTTTTTTTGGGTCTTGTTTTCCTAGGGCTGCGATAGCAAATCATACCACAAGCGGGAGCTTTACGGAACAGAAAATTATTTTCTCACTGTTTTAGAGGCTGAAAGTCTAAATCAGTGTCTAAACAAGTCAGTCCTTTGACAAGAATCAGCCCAAGGCTGGTCCCCATGAGGCAGAGGTTAGAGATGCCCCAAATGTCTAACTTCTCCAAACAGCTGTCCCACTCCCTCGTCTCTGACACTGACTCCTTCCCTCCACTCAGGACTCCCCCTCCCATCTTTGGGTTCCATACTTTGCTGCAGAGTCTGTCAGAACTCACAACTGTATTATAAGCATGGGGTTTATTAGGGAAGTCACAGGCATGACTCGGGATCAGGAACGACTCAGAAGTACCAGGAACACCAGCATGCCTTTCTTCAGCCAGGACAGCTGCTTGTTAGCCATCGGCGGGCCGCTCAGGGCCGGCCGCTCAGGGCCTCGCCGCTCAGGGCCTCGCTGCTTCTGCACGCCTGTCCCTCCTGCTTTCTGTGTTTCAGCCGCTCCCTCCCTCCCCCCTGCTCTCTGCTTCTCTGTCAGAGCAGCTGGATATATTACAAGATCCTGATCAATGTCAAGGCATGGTCCCCACCCCCAGCAAGACCACAAACTGACCGATCCCTTACAAGTGTTCCATATACCTTATTTGCATAGTCCCACCATTCATTTGTGGGAGTTACAAGCCCATGGCTAGAAAGGCCACGTGAAAGCAATTCACTCACCACAGTGTCTCGGCCGTGGACCCCCTCCATGGCCTTCACCACAGTGTCTCGGCCGTGGACCCCCTCCGTGGCCTGTCTCCCAGTTTCTGGTCCTTGGTGTTCCTTGTTGATGGGTCCACTCGTGGGTCTGTCCACTCCCCATGTCTCTCCTAGTCTACTCCTTCTGTAAAAGTGGCCACTCAGAAGGGACCAGGGCCACCCCACTCTGATATGAGCTCAGTCACTAACCAGAGAAAGCCTTGTTTCCAAACAGGGCCCCACCCACGGAGTCAGGGTCAGGGTCAGGACTCTCACCTGTCCTTCTGGAGACACAATCCAACCACTCACAACCCCTTTGAATGAAACAGCCAGTCCCTCACACGCTGGATACCTCCTTACCAGAACCAACACTGACCCCATTGACTGCCCACAATTCTCCTACTACCACCACTGTCCAAAGACCTCGCATGTGGGATCTACCCAGTGTTCCGGTGTCCTCTCTGACACAGACCCCATTTCTGGTGAAGAAGGGACGGTGTGCACATGACCAGGGGCCCACAGGCTCTGCCTCACACCACCTGCTTGGAAGCAGCCATGGAATGGAAGGCTTGGCTCAGGTGGGGTTGGTGATGCTGCTGGGTGGAGACTCTGTCCCTCAGGATTAGTAATGAGCATCTAGCCAAGAGCTTATATGTGACATGGTGTCCCCTAAAGTCGGAATGCCCAAGTCTCGCAGCCAAGAGGTGGATGAAGACAGACCTTCTCACGGTCACCCTAGAAACGCACTGTGAGCCCCCTCTCCAAGTCTCAGCTCCAATCGACCCTTCAGGGGACAGCTCGTGGCATGCTGTGTGTGGCTCCGGATGCTGAACCCCATTTCCCACAGTGTGCCTTCCCATCTTACAGCCCCCACTCTATTTCCTCTACATCCTGGGATCACCTTCCTAAAAACCCTGTGCCCCTAAGTTCTCATCAGACTCTGGCTTGTGGCGGGGGGAGTGGCTGACGCAGGGCTCTGTCCTGGGACGTGGGGGAGGGTGGCTGGGGTCCCTCTGCAGGCTGGATCTGTTGCCTCCCTCACTTCTGTGCAGGTGGAGGGGCTGGTGAGGACAAGGGGGCCTCAGCGGCTTCTCCCCTGCACTCCCGTCCAGACCTCATGAGCCGCAGGAGGCTAGCTGGGAGGACAGACCCAGGCTGAGTACTTGGGAGGGGTCCAGGTGACCACCCTCCCAGGGCAGCCTGCGAGGGTCTGCCACGAGGCCGGGGTATGGAACACTCATCCGGGGGAAGCCACATCCTAGTTGCATCCTGGTCCCTTTTTTTATCAGCATCACCAGAGGTCAGAGGGTCGGGGGCAGCACACCACACCTCGTTGATTTCCTGTTTCCATGGTTAAAGCAGCTGCACAAAGTTAGCAAAAAGGGATTAACGCATGGCCCAAGAGTAGCACTTGTCATCAGGTGGGCACGGGTGGGCGTCTGGGGGTGGCGGTGACAAGCTCCTAAGAGAGGCTGGACGTCCCACCCAGCACCTGGGGGCAAGGGGAAGGGGGAGGCAGACACCGAGCAGCGGTGGGCTCAGGGGTGGGGGTGGGGGTGGGGGTGGGGTGGTGAGCACTGTGGGGGGTGGCTGGCACCACGAGGGGGTGCGGGGGTGGGGGGTGGGGGCTTGGGAGATTCTGGGATAGAAACTATGAAAGGCAGCGCAGGGAGTGCCTGCCGGATCCGGTCCTGGAGCTCTGTGCCAGAGACAAAGGGAGCAGCTTGTGTGCAAGTGTCCGAAGCCTTTGCATGAAGTGTGACACCTTTATAAAGGTGAGAGCCAATAGGGCTGTAACTGGCCATCTGCGCACAAAGGTGGTGCTTCTGGGTGGACATAAATAGGGCCTGACTGGACGGCTGTTCTGCTCCCCCTGCCCCCCTCTGTCCTTCTCTCTGTCTCTGTCCCTCTCTCTGCCTCTGTCCTTCTCTCTGTCTGTCCCCCTCTCTGTCTCTGTCCCTCTCTGTCTCTGTCCCTCTCTCTGTCTCTCCCCCCTCTGTCTCTGTCTCTCTCTCTGTCCCCCTCTTTGTCTCTGTCCCTCTCTCTGTCTCTGTCCCTCTCTCTGTCTCTCCCCCTCTCTGTCTCTGTTCCTCTCTCTGTCTGTCCCCCTCTCTGTCTCTGTCCCTCTCTGTCTCTGTCCCTCTCTCTGTCTCTCCCCCCTCTGTCTCTGTCTCTCTGTCTGTCCCCCTCTCTGTCCCTGTCCCTCTCTCTGTCTCTGTCCCTCTCTGTCTCTGTCCCTCTCTCTGTCTCTCC